GGGGGCGCGGCTCGCTCGCAAGAACGGACACGTCAAGTGCAATTGGAGAGATTGCCCGGGGACTCGATGGAGCTTTCGCGCTCCCGGTCTCCCGTGGCTATGAAGGTGGCACGGACCGAAGAACACCGCGGTCTGTCGCCGGCTATGGCTGGGCCAAGCGGTTGCGAGGAGACGTTTCGGCCTCCAGCCAGCAAGCCTGTGCCGGACGATAGGGGTCGACCATCCAGCAGGAATCGACACACTTTGAGGCCGTCTTCTAAGGCATCGTCGCATCGTCCGTCCATTCGTCGATGATGGCGGATGTCGGTGCCCTGGAACTCGACGGCAGCGATTCGGACGTATCCACTGCCTCGTGAACGACGAGAACCTCCCTGGAAAGGAAAAGACGGGGTAGGCTGCCCACCTCGGGTGAATACGTGTATTTGGCCGTGGCAAAAAGAAGGCTGCTTCTGGTGGAGGAGCGGGTGGCTGAAGTACAAGCTGCCGAAGCGGTGTTGGACCCGACTGTGCCGGCACCGCCCCCGTCAAGGTCTGCAATCCCGCTGCCGTACGAGGCCGTGCTGGCTCGTGCATTTAGGACGATGCCCACGGCGGCCATCGCGGTACGCGTTCTCGACCACATGGAGCTGGTCGATAAGGTGGCCGCCCAGAGCAAGAACCTGCACGGCAGGTTTGCCCGGGCACTACGCGTAGCCGCGCAGGAGACGAGGATAGCAGAGACCGAACTGGCCACTCGGTCCGCGACCTCGTCCTCGGCGGGACTTGAGGCCGAGAACAGGGCCCTCCAAAAGAGGGTGGAGGACTTGGAGGCGGACCTCCGACAGCTCCGCAAGAAAATGGAGACGAGGCGGCGCGCGCCAATGGGGGGATCGGACACTGTGCCCGTTGTGGTGCCGGCGCCCGTGTCCCAGGTCGCAGGTACGTCACCTTTGCCGCCGTCGCCGGGGCCACAATCGCCGAAGACACCGTCGTCGTTGGGGGGTCAGAGAGGTCCATCAGGGCCTCAACCAACCACTGCTAGGGGCAGGGACCCGGCCTATATACAGCGGCAGGAGGATCCGGTAGTTCGGATAACGCAGCTGATAGATCAGCGCTTCGCTGCGCTTAGGGCGGAGATGCTTCCTCTCATGTCGGCGTTGGAGGAGCCGAGGAGGCCGCCGCCGGCACCACCAGCGGTGGGTCTTCCTCCCCCAAAGCCAACTTGAAAACGGCCCCCACTCAGAAGAGTAAGAAGGGGCAGATGAAGACGCCCAAGCCCGCTTCCCTGCTGCCTGAGGATCCGAGGACTGCGTCCCGTCGGGCTGCACAGCCTGCTGCGGTTCTGGCACCGAAGCCTGCTGGGCCGGAGGAGTCATGGACGGCCGGAGGAGTCATGGGCTACCATTGTCGGGCGGAAGGCACGTCGTGGTGCGGCGAAAGCGGCGCCTGCAAAGGCGGGCGCCCCGACAACCCGGGGTACCCAGAAGGGAGGACTTGGCTCGAAGCTGCATCACAGCAGAGGAGGTTGCGGCCGCTGCTGCGTCGGCGGGTGGTTGTACCCCCGGCGAAATCCGGATTGGGGATATTCGACGGGACCCCAATGGCCTTGGCACTATATGGCTGCACTACCCCGCTGCCGCGGCA